ACAAGAGATGGAATTCTCATGAACAAGAAGAGGAAAGCCAAAGTGAATATATTTGTCCATCTTTATGGCTGAGCAGTATAAATTGTGACATGCCATGCAGATAAGCCCATCAAAAGGGCTGCCATATATGCCCATCTGCTTTTATTTCTGTAGACGAAGAAGAGATACTTGTGCATTCATGATTTTTTTTGTCTTTGCTGGTGTTTCCTCACCCCATGTGAAATATCTGACATTCTCTACTCTGTGGCAGTGCATGTGATATCTGCAGTCCATATGATTAAAATTGTTTGATACATATATAGGAGGAGAGTTGAGGTAGATTTATTTCCACTCATCTACAATATTTCTAATTATGCTACAACAATGACAGGTACAGAATATTTACCAAATCCTGTGCTTCCCTTGTCTTGAGATCCAGTAATTAGGATACATCCAGAAATGTCCTGAATTCTGCTTTTCCAAAACCACCCAGCTCCTAACAGAACCACAATTCATTTACATGCTAAATGTTGATTTTTAAATATCCAATAAGATCCCGAGAGTATACCAGACCACTGTTCCACATTTAATGTACTACATAAGATATATCACTTCTCCTCCTCCAAACCAATTATTAATGAAAAGACAAGCTGAATATTTGATTTCTAAAACTTGATATTCCTCCATGATCCCTCAGTTCACACAGATCAATACATTGTGATGATGCATTTTTCTGGTTTATCTATTTTTTCTACATTTTTTTGCTCATTTTACAATCCAATAGTGGCTGGAAAGAAGACTTTTTTAAATACCTTAGAAGCAAATAGAAACTGTGATATGACCTTCTCATACCATTTTCCTAGTCATCTATTTAGTTTGTATTCTAGAACATGTACTGCCAGTGTGAGAGTGTTCCGATGAGTATGGAATGATGAGCCTAGGAATATATTTGGCAACTCTTTGCTTTGGGTCATGATAGGCCAGTGTGAGAATGTTCTGATGAGCCTCTTTCAGTGGATATGGACTTCTGAGAAAGTAGGTATATATGGGCAAAGTCTTTCTGTGGGTGTGATATATCTTGTTTAGTATTTGAGATGGGGTACACAGGACTACTGTTCTCCTCTAGATTTTACTGTACATTTAAAAAAGATACATTTAAAATGTACATGACCTCTGGTCCTGTGATGAGATATGCTGGGGCCCTAAAATGTGGATATACAGGAATGTGAAAGGAAGATTCTGTTGTATGAAGATAGAAAAAATTCACATTTCTCAGACAGTGTAAATGAAAATTCCAGTGGTCCAGACTCAAGATGGTATCCAGTTTTGTTTTTTATATAATAATTATTTTTAATTAACACACAGTATAAGTGGTTTTATTATAGCAATTAAAACATGTTTGTTGTTGGTATTTTACCCTTTGTCACATACTCATTATACTCATATAACTACTGATTTAATTTCTTAGTTCAAACATGTTCATTATCACTTTATGATGTTTGTGTGCTTGTTCAATTTATGAGACTTGTGTGATGTTTTCTTCCTGATGACTTCACATAGTATGCCAGTCCCAATTCCTTCAGGACTATTGTTCTCAAATAAAGCCTCTTCTACTTTCTTCATGTAAAAAGATTATCTATCTATCTATCTATCTATCTATCTATCTATCTATCGATAGATAGATAGATAGATAGATAGATAGATAGATAGATAGATAGATAGATATACATACAGATATGCTGGCACACTCAGACACACACACACACACACACACACAGTGACATACTATGAAATCTAGAGTCTATGAAAAAATCTGAATTTCCAAAGTCTGTCTCTTTACCTAACATGACATTCTACTCCATTCCCAATTCCTGCTAATGACATCATTTACTTCTTACTGGTTGGGTTTGACTCGATTATTTGTATATAAATCCTGTGAGGCTTTCATCTGAATTTGAATATGCCTAAGAGCATTCTGTACCCAGTAATAACATTTGTTTAATTTCATCACTGGTTTCAATCATTTATAAATTGCATACAAGCTATGTATTTAATCTTTTCTAAAATCAATATATATGGTACAGTTAAAAATCACTTGGCCAGATGGTACTGGCACATGTTTTTAATCCCAGCTCTCTGGAGGAAGAAGCAAGTGGATCTCTGTGAGCTCTAGGCCAGCCTGTTCTACAGAGTGACTTGCTGGACAGCCAGGACTGTGACACAAAGCAACCCTCCCTTGAAAAGGAAAAAAAGAAATTACTGTGTGTATATTCAATTGTGGTAATTCATGAAATGAAATTTTCAAAGTTGGAAGAATGCATTGTAAATAGCAAGAATGAATCTTTTTTTATATGAAATGAAAACAAAAAATTTATAGGAAGTCTTTTCTTTATTTCCTCTCCTTTTAGGGGCATCAAGGTTGATTCCATATATTGGATATTCTGAATAATGCTGAAATAAACATCGGCAGAAAATGTCTATGTGCTATTCTGAATTATCTACTTTCAGAAAGTCCCATAGGGATTCTATTGGACCTTAAGGTACTGCTGCGTTTACTGACTGAATTAAATGTATGTGTTTATCACAATGAGGACCTTAGTCTCTGCGCACACTAAAAACAATGATGGGAATTCCCACAACTATTACATGCTCATTAATTTATTTGGTCATTTTTTAGCTACTTATTC